TCTGCCTACAACAGTTTAGCCCCATCCATTCACACTGATACAGAGCCCTGCTGGTGACATCACATTATGTTTATTTATATTTACCAGCAGGGCTCCTTACACTGAAGTTATAAGGAGTGTTGCAGCCTGGACTCCATTTTGAATGAGGTACAATACAGGGCAGCCAATCAGCTTTGATGTATTTACATAACAATGCTGTCAGAACCAGACCTCATGTCTCCATTTTTAATGTTCATCTTTTTTCTATTTTAATTTAAATTGCCAGATCTTTACATTCTGTTAAAATTTCATGATGAATGGACCGACAGAAATGGTCTACTTACATTATTACTTATTTTACTTAATTACTTATTTTCTTTCCTTCTCCTGTATGTTACGAGGTACAATTCTGGAGATATCATTTTTTTTAAGATAGTGACAATATATACCAGTCTTAAAGGCACAGTCTTAAAGGCACAAAAACAGCCTGTTAAATTATAAGGACTAAAAGAGGTTGCAAAATAGTCATGTAACAATGAATTATGACTGTTTCTAATACATAAACTCTCACAAATATAAGTGGACCTCTGGGAAAACAATACCATACAAGAAGAATGTTGGAAAATTGGCCTTTTAAGCAATGCTTAAGCAATGTATAGACAGATAACAACATCTACATGTAATGTAGGTCATCAAAGATCAGTTCCAAATATGTAAAAGCTAAATAAATATTAAGTTTCTCTGGAAATCTGTTTTACATTTACAATACTGTATAACGTTCCCATTGGTGTAATTTTAAGAGAAGCAGAACAAAAAATTGAAACAAGCTATGACAGGTTTACAAGACAATTCTTTTAGCATAGAATACCAGTGCTGAGGAAGCATAGGTCTGTTATCTATATTAATGCTAATTTCATTACCATGTGATACCATAACACAGTGATATATTTGAAAAAATAATGACGCTGAATTTTATCAGCACCGCCCAGCTGTATGTGAAGCATTCCATGAGACCGAACAGATAACCTGTTATCAGCCTACATGCGCTCTCTCTCTGCGGAGGAACGGTCAGAAAACCAGAAGCTGACATTGTGGAGTCGCTCATACAGTTCCCCATACAAGCCACTCCTACAGTGCTTATCAGCAAAGGTTTAAGCACCTTGCACTTAACCTTTGCTCTTTTTGTGCTGCAGTGCCACTATCATAAACTGTGTGTGTGTGCGTGCGTGTGTGCGTGTGTGTGTCTATGTGTGTATGTGTGTGTTATGTAACTGTGTCAGCTCAAATGCCTTCACAGGTGAGTTTGGCCATTCCTTGAGAGTGGTTTTATTTGTTTGTTTGTTTGCTCATTAATTAAATCTGTCCTATATTAGCAGCTTTTCACAAGTCAAACTGAAAGAAAAGTGAAGTGGGTGGGAGTGATGTGATGATGATCTAAGGATGATGCAGCTTTACTGTAAGCGTGGCTGGTTAAGCATGACAACAGAGTGAGTGTGTGTGTGTGTGTGTGTGTGTGTGTGTGTGTTCCAAGTCCCAAAGCAGGCAAACGCTACACGTTATTTGGCAGCATACCATCAGTAATTCTTGGCGTTATCCATTTACTGTGGTACAGAAATAGGAAACCAGTCCAGACGTTGCGGATGAAGCATGCGTGTGAAGCGTCACTAGAACAATTGTTGACACCTGAAATAGGTTCATGCAATTTTAATGGACTCTGGGAAATCGTGTTTGCAGACTCAGTCGCCCCCCACTGCGTTTTCACCATCTGTTTGCTTGTTTTGTTTCAATTTGGTGACTCTTATCATGTATTTAGCCTGGAGAATGCCGCAGGGACACAGAACGCTTTGCTCTATGAGATGCTGGAAATGTACAAGAGAAGCTGCTTTCTCACATAAACAGCTTATTTATAGAATTAAGAGATCTACAAAGCGCTACTTAATTCAGTATTTGCTGAACTTTTACATCATTCATTATGCCTTCATTCATATTCTAGTCAAGGGCAATGCACTGCTTTTTGTGTTTCACTTATTGTTTGTTCTTTATTTATTTTCAGTCTCCTTCAGTATTACATTCACATCACCATAGATCTTTGAAAGTCACTAAGATCAAAATTAGGCGAGCCCAGGGAGAGTTGTGACAGTTTTATGTCTCAGCCTCTATAACTATGGTTTTTGCAGTATAGCTATCAAACTTTGATATAATATACAGACAGATTTGTCTGGTACAAATAACAATGATATATAAATCTGCTATTGACTCATAAAATGTGCAAAATACAAAAAGTTGTCGTTACAACCTAGAACCACAAGGTAATATAGTTATGTTTTATCACTGTGTATGTGTGTAAGAGAGAAGAGGACACCAGCACCAAAGGTGTAGGACAGGCGGTGTTGGGTTGAGGGGGTTAGGTGGGTATCCATGGGTTTTATTTTTGGACAGTACTGCTTAGTATTACTTAGTATTACTACAGTATTACTACAAATTACTGTTAAGAAAAAAAAAAAAATTTATATCATATAATTATATTTATGTAAAATATTACATATTTTATCAGCTCCACTCACTATAGCGGTGCAATTTCTAGTTCTACAATTAAAGATTGTTGTCCAGCTGTTACTTTGCATACTTTGTGAGTCGCTTTTTACCTTGTTCTTTAATGGTCAGGACCCCCACAGGACCACCGCAGAGCAGGTATTATTTTGGTGGTGGATCATTCTCAGCACTGCAGTGACACTGCTGTGGTGGTGGCGTGTTAGTGTGTGTTGTGCTGGTACGAGTAGATCAGACACCGCAGTGCTACTGAAGTCTTTAAACACCTCAGTGTCACTGCTGGACTGAGAATAGTCCACCAACCAAAAAAATCCAGCCAAAAGCGTCCTGTGGGCAGCGTCCTGTGACCCCTGATGAAGAACTAGAGGATGACAAACACAAACTGTGCAGCAAAAGATGAGCTATCATCGCTGACATCTACAACAAGGTAGGAGTGTCTAATAAAATGGACACTGAGTGAACACATTGTTCAAAAACTCCAGCAGCACTGCTGTGCCTGATCCACTCGTACCAGCACAACACACTAACACACCACCACCACGTCAGTGTCACTGCAGTGCTGACAATGATCCACCACCCAAATAATACCTGCTCTGTGGTGGTCCTGTGGGGGTCCTGACCACTGAAGAACAGGGTAACAAAGTTAGCAGAGGAACAGATGGACTACAGTTTGTAATTGCATCTATATGCTGAGTGGAGTGTAGATACAAGGGGGTGTATGTCAATTTAATATAAAATTTAACATACAATTTTTATTAATGTAAAAAGGTATATAACAGTTTCAAATATAATTAGAGTTTTTGCATAACTTACCCATAAAATAATGTTCTGTCACATTAAATGACTTGATGAAGAGTGACAACATTTTGAGCCTTCAGAGTAGCAAAGACTAAAAGCTGGTAAGTTCTGCTCTTGTTCAGTATTGATCATTTATTGTTAGCGCTCCCATGAACTGGTCAGCCTGGTACCCAGTGTGTCCTGAAATAGCCCACACTCACACTGTGTTATGTGGTGTTGTTAGCTGTGTGTTTCTTTCTGTAGAGTATTTGAGTAGTTTGAACATTAGGAGTGAGAATCTCTAGGCACCTCATGATTTGAATGTATAGTGATTCAAGGTGCAAAGACGTGATTATAAAACAGTTCTCAATACATCTTAATGCACTTCAATTTTATATTTCAACAGCCTACATTATGATTTTTCTCCTTTATTTGTCTCTAACAAGTAGTGTTGGCTTAGTTAAATTTGCTATTGGCAACATTCATTAGGATGTAATGAAATTACAGTCTTGCGTAGTGTCATGCGTGTGTTAAGGAGATGTGTTTTCTTTAGATTAGCTTTACACTGTGAAACTTTCATGCGACTAGTTGCATGTTGTGCGTTGCCTGCAACATAATTTCTGGCAGTTACACAAAGCAATTCAAAACCAATAGGAGTTGCATGCATCACATTTGGATTACTCCACTAGAAAGGCAAAGAAACAGCTCATGATTTGTGATAATCTGTTGTGTTTATGTTAAGCATTTAAAAATGAACATTTAATTAGCCATTACAGTTTTTATTCCTGTCTCATTCATCCTGCCCTAGAAACACTACAAGTTAACCAAGGAGTGCATTTCAGTCTCTCTTTCTGTAGCAAATTTTATCATTTGCATCCCAAATGAATCAGCTCTGTGTGAAATTAGGGGGCATCTGGAGAGGTTAAAAAGCTTTGAGGTATCTGACAAAATTAAACTACCTGTCAGTCAATAAACTGCCTAATAAATCACATTCTGTTTTATTTTCTTGTCCATTGATCCTGAAATCAGTTGTTTGTTGTTTGAGTCTTTCTGAAGTGATTACACAATGTGTGATCAGCATTTTGATTGACTGTTTCATGAAACTTGTTTCACAAAGTTGAAACGCTTGCAGTTGTTGCTGCTGAGCCTCAAGTGAGTTGTAGAATGCTTTACTTTATGCAACTAGGGTGCAATTTAGTTTCGTGAAGGTTTCAAGCAACCAAAGTTGCATAGAAGTTTCACCATGTAAAGCCACTATCAGCCCTCCAAGACTGGAAATGCAGAGCCAATATAAAAAATGCAATTGTAAGGTTCTGTCAGTCGATTCAGAAGAGAGAATCATGATGCGTCTGAGAATCTATTATTTTTCCCGCCACTACTGAGCATTATAGCCTTCTTTTAGATAGGATGGTGTCAGCCTACAGTTCTCTTATTGGTGCATCTCTACTTTTAGATTTTCATCCGAAGTTTAGCTCATTTTAAAGCTTGGTAGTTTTTAATGGAAAAATATTGGGACATATCAGAATCAGCCACTGCCCAAGGTTTCACACTTTATATAAGGATCGGAAATGAAAGAAAGATGTCATGCTCACCCTATATAGTATAATATATTATAGTAGTTTATTATAATTGCAATCAGTATGTGCACAACACTTAAAGACATGGTCTGTTGTTTCTCTTCTTTCGTCCCTCAGCGCTGGCACCATGTCTAAGGCCACGGTGAAGAAGCTACACTGGCGCTCCAAAGTGCAGGAAAGCTTCGTCCCTCTGGGTGGGGCCTCAGGAGAGTTGGGTGTGGCCATTGGGGGCGGAGCTGACTACGGCGAGTTCCCATTTGTCACAGCAGCCCCTGGGGGTGGAGCCACGGTGGGTGACATCATCCTAGAGATCGGCGGCACGCCTGTCCTCGGCATGACCCTGGGAGATGTCAGAGGGGTTTTGAACTCGTGTCCCCACCCCATCCGCATCAAAACGGTCTCACCAGGTACTGACCACTCTGCTTACGACTTTATAGCAGGGAATTCAGGTTGCTGAATCAGGTGCTGTACTGCTGGATAGTTTGCGTGTCAGCCTGCTTACTCTCCTGCTGTGCAGGTAGAGCACTGCCCAAATGGACTCAGCATAATGCACTTAACCAAATTTTCCTCTTTTGTTTTCATCAAAATGCTCAATTTTAAAGAGATAATTCAATAGTGAGGTCAATTCCATAGTAAAGTCGGTACTCAATTTTTGTCCGTTTATAGAGCAAGGTTTTATCGCTTGGTGTAATGGAATTTAAATCAATAAATTGATTTGAAAGGGACATTGTCCTCAAAACTATAGATCAGTCAAAAATCTGATTTAGACTGCAAAATTTTCACTCTACCTCAAAAAAAGAGAATCAGCCAAGACTTGTACAAAAGTACATTGAATAGATAAAAACAGTTAGAAGCCATTTTGATGCCTGAATTTTTGTCTGTAAAATATTTGTATATTGACATCAGCAGATGTCAGTAGTGTGCAAAATTTTAGACACCTGAGAAAATTTTGTTAGGCACCTAGGAAAATTACATTTAAGAAAGTCATTCATCTAGACAGTAAGTATTTATTTGGTAAGGAAAACACTAATATTAGCAAAACATTAATAACTTATAACTAATATAATAAGCAGTGATTTTATGTATGTCATTGTATTCATTTAACCATTTCCAAACCTCTCCTCATAGCAGCCCAGTACTGATTTTAGTTTTCATCCAATACCTGGTTTGGCTAATCAACACCTCATTAAATTATATCAGGTGTGCTGGTCATCGAATTTAATAAATCCGTGCAGTTGTTGAGATTGTCGAGGAGCAATCTGGAACCAAATTTCGTTCTTCTAACTAGCTTACAAGATAAGTACTTTTTAAAAACATGAAGAAATTATTTGAAAAAAATCTTTTTGCTGCATTAACGTTCACACTTATTCCAATGGTATATGGTGTTTTTAACACACATCCAAGATAAACGGTTTTAAACTATTTGCTTAGGTGCCTAAGACTTGCACAGTACTAAGAAAAATACTTAGTATTGACATCGGCCCACAATTTGCATACTAGCGTATAACTAGTTATAAGCTTATTACTTGCTAGGAGCCAAGTATTACCTGCCAGCTCCAGTGCAGAAACTTAGGACACTAAACAGGCCTTGGTTGATGAAGTAAATTTGCGATAAAAAGGAAATTTTAACTGAATTAAATGTTCACCCCTTTTGAACTGAAATTAAATTATTGAATTGTTCCAAATTCTATTATTTCAAATTATATCAAACTTTGCATTGTATTGTTTCTGTGTAATAACAGCACTTTTAAGACTGAGGATGCCCTGTTACTCACATTCAACAGAGCATTTCCTTCAATACTGAATAACAGCACATGAGCTGTCTAAACCTGTCCCGTTAGGCTCCTCAGTGTAGCATTTCCTTCAGTGTAACAAAACGCTCAGTCTTGCCTCCTCCTCCTCCTTTTTCTTCCTCCTTGCTTGGCTGCTGTTAAGTGGATGTGATGGGTGCACTCCATTACTTAACCTTTCTGGAGCTCCCCGCTCACGTCCGGCAGGATTGATCGCCATCAGTGCAGGAGAGGAGCCCCACGCAGCCCGCTTGACTGGGACAGCCCATCGGCATGCATGTTCGGGCCAGTGCACGGTGGCCATCAATATACAGGAGCCTGCCGTCATTCGAGGTCATAAAGCACTTTAAAAAATGAATAGATCAGAGAGTAATTCTCTTTTGCCCCGCTATTCACATGAGTCCTTGAGGCCTTTTGCAGGCTCCTTTATTCGCTTTTATTGCGGAGGGGAGCAGGTATTGAGGGAGTTAGTGTGGGAGAGAGCGGCAGTTTGAAAGCAGAGAAAATCGATGCAGGGGGACGCTGGAGTTTTCCCCTCGCTGGGTGGTTGAGTCAAACAGAGCTGTCGCCTGCTCTCTGCTTCGTTCACACTATGCGGCGTTACGCTGTGTCATTGGGCTTTTCCAGCAGGTTCTGTGGCAGACTGTGTGAGCTTTTTCTTCTCGCTTTGTCACAAAGTCGCAAAGTTTTTTACAAAAACATTCCAGTACCTAAAAGTACAAACATAGGATGCTATTCTTCCACACATCTGAGTCTTTAAGAAGGATGGGAATGAAACTTTTATTGGCATTTTGGAGATTTGATTGGCATTTTTTCCCCTGTGTTAAATTAGGCAAATAAATAGTAATTGTTCACTACAATTCACAGAAAATGCCTAATTTAAGTTTTAGTGTTACTAATTTCCCACAAATTATGTTCTTTGACCAGGAGTGTTACAGCTTTTGCATACGACTATATACAGTGCTCAAGTGTAGTCTTGGGACACCTTATCATTTTTTTGTTGTTTATTTTGTTTGTTAATATATTCTGGAAATTGTGCTTTACCATATTCAAAAGTACATCATTTCAGCTATATTATCAATAGAAGACACTCACCCCCCCAACAACATCACCTATCACTCCGCCAATTTTGTTTCTATCCAATTGTTCAAACCAGTGGCCTCCAGTGCTATTCCTAGAAAGCCACCATCCAACACACTTGACTCAAAATTTCATTAACTTTTGAAAGACATTGCTTTAGAAATATTCAGTTTAATCAAGCATGGAAAATTGAATTGGTGGAAAGAGCCAGGAAGACATCAAAACCTGCCACACTCTGACCATCAAAAAGAGGACATCCAGCAAGCCTGGTTTGGCAACTCATGTACTCAATGTATAGAAGACATTAAACTGTCATCCAAAGGAAGTGATATATCAAAATACTAACATAAATAAAATAATAAATACTGACCTACATAAATTAAAGAAAAAAGTTTTTCTATTTACTTTACTTACGTTTTTAAGTAATAGCCAGGATCATTTTGGGGTTCATTTTAGGGCTGGGCGATATTGCAAACAAGTAAAATCTCGATTATTTTCACATTTATTAACGATTCTCGATTCCAACTGCGATTTTTTTTTTCTTTGTTCTTCTTGCATAATGCCATTGGAAACAGACAATTTCTTTTTTGAATAGTAACAGCACCACCTGTAATTATTAAATTGTGCAAATAGTGGTTCCTTTCAAGGGACTCAAACTGTGCAAGCACAACAAAATTTGTAACAAAACAAAATAGCAATAATTAAAACATAAAAGAACCATTTTAATTAGTGATATTCTTTTAGGAATAGCAAGCAGCTTCCTTAAAGCTCACAAGCAACTCTCACTTCAAATAATGTGCAAGCAAGACCTTACATTAAGAAAAGTGCAAACCACAAGTTCTTTACAGGTTTCTTGAACGGAACACAAGCCTGTCTACTGTTTCAGGCTTAAGAGACGCCATTTGAAAGGTAAAGGCCTCAGGAGGCTTCCTGCGGAGACGATGTTCGCCGGGCTTCAGCGAACAATGTGCCGTAATTGCGGAGAAAACGAACAACCGCAGACGTCGCGCGGAGGCTTCGTTCGCCGTGTCACGCACATGGCAGCTGGGCGAACGTCCGCGGACGAAGACGCTACGCGACAAAGCCTCTGATTGGTCAGTAAAAAAAGAGGCGTGCCTTTAAACAAAGATGGACAACTTTGAGGAGCTTCGACTTCGGCAGACACACTAATATTTCACTGTGAAACGCGCATTTGTTAAATAAACACTGAAGATCTCATAAATGTAAGATATTAAGTCTACTATTCGGTAGTACTTAGTAGTACTCAGCATCAAAACATACAGGTTAACTTATATTTAGGTTCACAAGAGGACGAGGCTGAAGTTGGCTTTCTATTCACCATTTTCAATTCACTTCTTGTCTGAATTTTCCCGTTCCACCTTAAATGGTGTCAGTATTCTGAACTCGAACGTCGCCATAGGTAGAACTGTGAAAGAATCGTTTTCCGGCAGTCATGAAATAATTATGAACTGTCAGCGTCACGTGGAGGATCCGCGACAGGCAACACGAAACCGCAGAAAGTACGCGATCTTATAATCTCGCGAAGGCACTTTCGGCTTCACACAACCTTCGAGAAGTTCGTTTCGCAAGAAGTGCTGAGGCCTTATCAACGTGCCCTGCCGCACTGAAATCTCGCTCAGTTTCATCGCGTCGTTTCATTCATTGCTCCCATTCCGCTGGGCGTTTGTGTCGTAAGGGCTGGAACAGATTCGTCGTACTGCGAAATTTGGTTGCAACTGTCTTTCGACACAACTTACACTTTACATGAATTTGTTCAACTTCTGACCTTTCAAATCCGAACCAGTTCCACACCACTGAACTGATGTCTCCACCTTTCTTTGGTACGAGTTCGCGCCTCCATCTTAGTGTTTGTGTTTTTGTTTTCTATCGCGCGCGGCTGAGGTCAGCACAGACCTGTAAGAGGCGGCGTTTTTTTATTTTTTTATTTAAGATGCGTAGTTACGTCTTGAAAATTCGAATCGTTTTTGTTGGTATTTTAATTAAAGTACAAGCAATGTAAACATGTACAAACTCGATTGTCACATTTCGAACATCGTGTGAAAACGTTAATTCGAATTAACCGAATTAATCGTGAAAATCGCCCAGCACTAGTTCATTTAGTAAACCTGGTCGTTATTGCTGGTTGTTATCTTTAGGTTGAAAAGTGATAAATAAATAAGACACAAAATGTATTGAGAGAGTGTCCCAAGACTACTTTTGAGCATTGTATTTATTTTGAGTTTCTGGTGTGTCCATGGAGATATTAACCAGGTCTATTACATCAAATTTGACTGCTGCGGGTTTAATGATACGCCAAGGTATAAAACCCTGTTATAATCACACCGTTTCAAATGTAATCATTCTGATAACAGTGTAGATTTTTCCACCAAGTTATGGTGGAAATATATGGCTTACTGCATCAGTAATAGTCTAAATAACTCAGGTTGTAGTTGATTTATTGGTGTAATAAAGAAAAACAAACGGGTCAATAAGAAGTCTGTTTATATAATACTGGTGGTAAATGGTTTCAATGTGTATCAGGCTCTTTAAACAGTATATTCACTATAAATGTATCAAGAAACATGATCATTTTCAATGCTGATGTCATGACAGAAACTTTTCATAATGTCTCATTACCAGTCTCTGTTTATGTAGTCGAGTATAGCATGCATGTGTACTGTGGTGCCTTGTTTGCATGAGAAATATACTTGAATGCCACTAGTGAATAACATTGACCTTTGCAAAGATGCAAATGAATGTTATTTTGACTGTATGTGCTGAACACAGTAGTTGAACATTAGCTCTGAAGTAGTTTTCAGGTGAGATATGCAGTGTGCAAAGTGGTCCCAGTTTGAGTGTAATTTGGTGATTACAGTGGTTACTGTGTAACTCTTTCAGGCTCCACTCTCTGTAAGGACCTGAGGTTATATTTGAGCAAGTGCTTCACACCTGGATCCATGGACAGCCAACTCCAGCAGGTCATTAGAGAGAACCTTTACCTGCGCGCAGTGCCCTGTAAGACACACACAGACACACACTGCAAATCACACATGTATACACACTAGGGCTGTCAGGATTCATCGATTAAACTTGATTACTTGGTTAATTAGAGCAAAAAATTAATGATTAAAATGTACCTTGAATCATTAAGGAATAGTTGGCAGTTTACAGGATGATAATGCATTTTAAGTTGTCCTACTGGTTTCTCTAACAGAAAGAAACAGAACCTTGACAGATACATTCATTTAAATGCACTTTTTTCCACAAAGTGTTGTTTTTTTGTTTGTTTGGTTGGTTTTTCTTAGTAAGTCATTTTAAATGCTTCCTATCTTTCTTCCAATACTCTTTTGGAATATTTGAGAAGCTAAAGGTATGCATAAGGTATGCATTGTGTTGTTTGGTCTGTTTAAAAATACTGATTACTGCATTGATTATCAAAATAATTGGTAGATTGGTCGAACTTGTTTGTGAACCTGGAAGCTACAAATTGTCATGGGCCCTGCAGGTTCATAAATTCAGTGCAATGCAACACGACACAACTGGGTTGCGTCCTGATGTTGGCGACTTACACAGACCATAGTAATCATGGAAACCAAAGAGGTAGGCACATGTACCAATAAGTAGAACTAATAACTAAATGGTATTCAGTGAATTCATAAACCTCACCTAAACAAACCATGTCTATCATGCTATGATCTGTGATCTGTTTGTTTCACAACGCACAAGGCAAACGGATCCGATTTCTGCTACTTCGATCTACTAGTCCCCCCTTAATAACCAGTTAACTGGTGAGCTAACTGATGTCAACACCTTAGCTGGTGGGGAACTTAAGAAAACCTTGTTATTTTAGGAATCTTTATCAAAAGTACTATTCAGACAGGTTTTACACAGGGAGGTTGGGTAATGTAATTTTAACATAGGGTGTCTGTAATCTTTACAGCCAGTTCATAAGGATGAAGAAGATGAAGAAGAAATCTCTGTATAAATTACGGTGATGAGAGCTACTTAATTTACATATTACTACCAGACCAAGAAAAGTTCCATATGCAATGCATTTGAGTAGAAATATCTAAAAAATATCTATGTCTTTAACCATAATTTTGTGTAACCATCTGCCTAGCTGTCTGAAATGAATGCAGTGTCATTAGCTTGGGATTTGACAGCCAACAGTCAATATCATTACATAAAATCAAACCTTTTTCTGTCACTTTACATGTTTTGGACAGCAGTGATTTACTGACAGGGCAGTTCACACAGGACTAATATAGTTTGTTTCACAGTATGTAGTAGCATTCCATGAAAGTTACTAAAGTCATTGAAAAACACTGGTAATAATTAGATAACCTCACCTTCCCATATAAAAGTAATCTCGTCCAAATAGTGCTAATGTCTGCTCTCGTGAAATACCTCTTTTTCTCTTTGTGCTTTTCTTTTCATGCTTTTTCTTACTAGCTGGCTCTAACCTCCAAATCAAATGAAACCACCAGTCATCTTCAGGGTAGATCTTTTGAAAAACATCAACAGTCACATGTGAATGATGTAAAAGATAAAAGTTTTTGGTGTGGGTAGGTGAGGTGGGTGAAGTGTAGATTAAAAAAAGCTGTTATTTAAGGCCCTTTGGTCTGATTCATATCTGAGCCAATGCATTAAACTACATAGCCCCTAAGTAGAGTACGTGATTACTAATATATCAATAGTGACAGCTTTAATACACACACAAGCACCCGAACATACACATTCACACTTCATTGTTAAGCATATGCAATCACACTTTTGTCTCGCACATTATTTTCTCTCTCTCTCTCCGTCTCGCACATAATCACCCGTGAACCACAGGCGTTTTATTTTCTTCTCTCGCAGACCCAACATCAAAGTCTTCATGCTTCTGTACAATGAGAATCCTGTAAGCATGAAGCCTTTAAAGTTTTAAATCCTCAAATCTCTCACAGAGGCAAAAGTTCATTGAATCGCTGGCAAGGCGACAAACATTAGCCATCTCCATGGCAACTGTCAGTGAGCGTCACCCTGGTGTGCTCACGTGCATCCGTGCTTTGCCTTCACAACACAGCCAATGAGTTTTCATTATCAAGCAACATCACCAGCCGTGAGCTGCCAGCACTGCATACTAATACAGGCAGTACACTCACCAGTGTTGGATTAAGGAATTCATTTAATGCAATTTAGCATGGAGTGGTGCATAAATATAACCGTGTAAGAGTTAATTTATCACTGCTGATTTTGCTGTGAATTAATGTAAAGCCCCTCATGGATTTGACTGCTTGTATAGGCTCCTTCTGCAGTGCATCAAATTGCCTCCCCCCGTACTACGGCACAACTGTTATTTTACCTCATACCTCATGTCAGACCTTGGTTTGACTACATTACTACACTAGAAATTGGGCTTTTGTGTATGTTAGCTTTATTTCACTACAGCAGAAACAAAAGAAACCAGCCTCTGAACACCAGAGCAATTAAAGTTTAATAACAGTACAGAGATAACTTAGTGTACATTGGAGTTCTCAATACGGAAGACACCTCACATGTAGGGCTAGGTACTAATCAAAAAATTCTGTGGCATTCAGTACCAGATTTTCATAGTCTGTCTTAGCATCCGTGTGGCTATAGGCATGTTTGCTCCAAAATTTCAGCTGCAGCTATCTAATAATAAAGCGTATGCATGTTATTAATGCCAGCACTTCTTGATTAAGCCAGTCTGTTGCGGCCTGTAAATACACCCACTTCCAGCACCTCACACTCATTTCTACCACATTTGTGTTTATAAGTAGAAAATAAGGCATTTTTATTATGATTTAATGTGATGAAATGTTATAAGCTGCATTCCAAAAGCTAGGCTGCAGCTGAGAGCGGTGCTCTCGGCAGGGCTGTCTTCTGAACGCTCCTCATTTTTGTTACATAACGCAAAACAGAATAGTCTACCAAGACCGCTTTGTGATGTCATCAGAAAGGAGGGTGCGCACAAACTTACTGAAAATAGTGTTGATGTAAATGATAAGCTATAAATAATATGAATGGTGTAATGTGACAGGAAAAACAACTTGTTCGTAATTAAATTCTCTTAAACTCTCCAAAAGTAGGTGCCTTTCATACCCTACATTTAAATTACACCCTCTTAAACAGATATACAACCAAAGTAAGAGCATGCTGTATATCGTCTCTGTCCAGGAAAACTGTCCAGCCTTCTAGCAAAGATGCTGCCATTGATGTGTGAAAATTTCATGATGAATGAACAAACAGAAAGGCTCCAAATTGCTTAGAATAAGATCTCTTAACGTTAACTTACATTATAAGTAAAGAACATTTTTGCCTTCTTCTTTTAAGTGACCATTTTGGAGATTTTTTTTTTTTTGGTCAGCGATTACTTGTTACTATATTTTTTGCTGGCCTTTTTAAACAGTGTGTAGTAACATCCTCAAAATGAACATAGGCTGGATTTCTCAGCTGTATTCTGAGGATCCTTATGATTGGAACAGCCTTGGATGGCGTAGTGGACTAGAAATACAGCCCTCCTGGACTGCAGCCTGGCTTTTGAAACTTAGTTATTGTGCAGAAGGAAAAAACATTCTTTGCATTTTTGTCTCTCATTTTGTGACAAAAAGTCGACCATGCAATCTTAAACCTGTAGATACAGAATGTAAACCAAATCTAAATTCATTGCATACAGCAATATGTAATTAAATATGTGGGGTTAATAGAGCTCTTTGTTATAACAGTGTACGACCCATTATTTGAGTCAAGGCTGCTACAGAATACCTCAAACATCCGGTCCCTCCCAAAGTAAAGGAAACTCACTTTCAGATTCTGTCATCTATTTACCCTGTTATTGATTTTCTTTGTGGTACTGTTGGTTTTGAAAATACTCCTTGCAGCTTTTGTCATTCACAGTGTGAAACCGTTTTTGTCCTGTTAACATGTGAGAACCTTTTTGTCTGAGACTAATAAAATAGCTTCCAACCTACCTGCATTTCAGTGACCTTAATATCAATGTCTTATTAACACTGTTATTTTTGTGTCCACATTTGTTAAACGACCAGGCTTTCTCTCCTTCTGGGCTGAATTTCATCATTATGTGGTTGCTTTTTGTAACAACTTTTAATTGCTGAATATGTACAGTGAGATTGTTAGTTAATATTTTTGTATATTTTTCTTTTTAGCCTCTGGTATGTGTGTTTATTTTTTTCTTTAAACGGTTGCTGCTGCTTGCTTTTTGTTTTATGTGTTGATACATTAATAAAGAAAGTATTTAAATATGTAAGTACTAAATTACATTTGAATATTGCAGAAAAATGAAAGCAATAACCCAGTTTCTAAAGGGTAAGTTTCTCATTATGAGACTGTAGTATGCACAGCTATTCGTACTGTGTTGTTTTGCCAGTTCATTTAGAATTAATGCGAAGGCTCTAGTTCAGCAGTGCATCAGCAGTGCGTTAGGGAATACTGCTTATGTTTTTATTTTTCATTTGACTTTTTCTGAGTATGTTTGCTCAATGCAAGGTCCAGTCTCTCGCACGTGAAGCTCAGCGTTGCTTTGATGTGTTATTTACTCTCCATTTGCTCAGTGTTAGATTATATCAGATGAAGCCGTGGAGAGCTGTGCTGTAGTAACGCTGCTTCCTCTGAGCTAGGCATCAGGTAGGATAATCTGCTTAAATGAAAACCTGTCTGGTCGCGCAAACTTTCATTTGTGAATCAAACCTGTGGCACAGTCCTGTAATCTTATCCCTGCCAGATTAAATCACTGACTGATTGAACATCGGAAGCTTGTGACATAATCAGAGCTGGGTTTGGTGTGTTCTGCAATTACCGTTACTAACCAAATGAGGCAGTTTTATCTTTACACTGCAGTTCTATCTTTAGTTACACGCAACACTCAGTATTGAAATCCATCCAGCATTGAAATCCATCCTGGATTGAAATCCATCCTTAGGAAAACGAATGTAGACTTTTTACAGATGATGTGGTCATAGTTTATTAATGACCTCTATAGTTTTTAACATGGTTACCAACATGTGATTATCTTCTCTCAGAATCCTTTACAATATGTACAAGAAATCTTTCTTGTTAGTTAATAAATGTAAAATATACTGTATAAATCACAAAAAATAGCATAAAATAAGTACAGTTGAGGAATTTTGTTCCAATACACATTATAGACACTCTCAAGGATTTTCTTTTCTTCATGAAATATGTTGTTGGGAGTGGGCTTTACACATACAGGAAATATCCATACTATGTTATGATTAATACCACCTTCATTAGAGAAATAAAAATGTATTTTCTATTATACATCAGTTGTTATTCTGTACAAAAATGCATTATAACTGTTCTATCAAAAATTGTTACAAATGGATATACACCATTTTGGGAAGAAACTCTTCAATAGGTGTTATATAAAGTTACTTTATAAATATTGAAGTTGTGTACCATAAAAGGCAGCATGTATTATATAAAGGTTTTTTTTATATGTCATAGTTTTTCTTGGGGGCAACTGTCAACATATATTCCAAAAAATGCAAATATTTAAAACATATAAAATGCATAATACACAGTTTAAATCTACACATAACATAAAAGATGTATAATGGGTGTTATTTACAGTTGCATTCTGAATATTAAAGACGTACAGTTATACAGTTATAAGATAGTTAGAAAATATTTGGTGCAAGATATTCAAGAAATTTCTCTTAGTGCAGGTGCTAATATAAATCTCAAGATAAAAATAAATAAATAAATAAAATACACAGTGTAGTCATAATAAAGTGTACAAATTATAAGAAATTAAAAATTAATTTATAAATTAAATTATATTATAATTTAAATTAAATAATTATAAATTAAATTATAAATTAAAAAGATGTAGTTACAGTTGTATGCAAAAGTTTCATCGAGGTGCCTAAACTTCTGCATTTGACTGTATAAAGTTATTAAATATTCAACGTACAAAACGTACAAGAAAGTTCTCTTGGTGCAGGTGTCTATTTAAATTTCAATAAAAGAATAAATGCATAGAATGCATAATGCTCAGTGTACAATTCTACAATCTACATATGATTATTTGCGACTAGTATTAAGTACTGTTACATTATAAATATCCATATAGACAGTAAAATCTGTATAATAAGTATAAGTATACAAGTATATAATAAGTAGTGGATTATATTATGTACAGTTACGTTATAAGCGTCAGTGATGTGCACTCATACTGATATGATATAACATATTCGGTATTTAATATTTTGAGTCTGTTTATGTCCCAGGTACCACCAGGCAGCCGCGGGACGGGGAGATCTCGGGGGTGGACTACAACTTCGTCTCCATCGAGGAGTTCTTCTCGCTGGAGGAGTCGGGGGCTCTCCTAGAGAGTGGCAAGTTCAAAGGTCGGTATTAGCTTAAGCCTACAGCACTGTAAGAGCATAATAAACACTGTTCTACAGCTAATACTAATTAACACAGTATGCAGAATACAAAACATCCCACTTGACTGTTTCAAGCAGACTTGTTTGACCTTGATTTTTAAGCAGCTGTTTGAATGACTCAGTTTGGGAGATTTGCACTTATTTGATGCTTAAGCAGTATTTGTTTAAGCACACTTTGCTGAAATGCTATTTTTGTGCTGTTGTTGTAAGGCAGAATCAAAAACAGGCTGCGGCTCTTGTGTGTTCTTCAGTGCTGTCTGATATTTGCGATGCTCAGTGTTATTTGCAGATCTGCGTGTGTGCGTTTGCGCTGTGAGAGTCAGGGTTTCCTGCCAACATTAAAAAACATGCTAGCCTACCACCAGCTCCAGAAACGCTGGTTGAAAATGCTGTGTTAGCGTAGACTAAATTCCAACATTATCAGCTAAAACAGCTCAAATAGGCCCATATTAGAGCAGGTGCCTGCCTCAAATAAACCTAGATTGAATACATAAATGTATCATCACTGTCCAGAAAAAACAGCATCTGTCTGGATAGAAATAGAAATGCTCCAAAACTGACAAACAATGTAAAATGTTATTACATTAAATTAATTTTTGCTCTACATACACTCACTGAACACTTTATTAGGTACACCCACCTTGTATCTAGACGCAGTGTCTAATTGAACGGCTCCACTTAGCCCCCTTTTACGCTGTTCTTCTGTGGTCAGGACACCTACAGGACCACTGCAGAGCAGGTATTATTTGGGTGGTAGATCGATCTTAGCGCTGCAGCGATACTGATGTGGTGGCATGTTAGTGTGTGTTGCGCTGGTATGAGTGGATCGTTTTTTAAAGTGGTCAGTGAGTGTACATGGATATAGGTAGACAGATATAATTTGCAATGGCCACTAGGGCAACCAAGACAAAGAATATTGTGGCCAAAATCAAGTATTTGTGGCTAGAATTATAGAAGCACAGTCTTTTGTGAATATAAGTCAACACATGCTCTACAGAGAACATACTTCTGCACATTTTAATGCACAATTACTGCATATTTGCTGAATTTAACATATTGGGGAAATAATCATAACATAAACATAACATGGCTTTTATTTGTAAATTTTATTTTTTCACAATATGTTAAACTCATAACTAGACAGCGCATAACTAGACATTGTGCACTAAAATCTGCAAAAAATGCCCTATTTGTTTCCTGTGGAGTATTTATGTACTTATTTTTGAGTACAAAAAAAGTGTAATTTGACCAGGTGTGTTCAAAGTTTTGCCAAAGACTGTACATTGTAGAAAGTATTTATTAAACAAAAGCGAAATGTAAAATGCTATGGCCAGGGGCACAACCCCTCAAAGGAAAGGGTCCACCGCTGGCCACATATTATTTGGATGGTGGGCCATTTTCAGTACAGCAGTTGCACCTGCATGTTAGTGGTATGTTGGTGCATGTTCTGCTGATATGCAAGTATCTGACATGGTGTTGTTGCTGGGATTTCTTACACACCTCTGTGTCGCTGCTGGGCTGACAATGGCCCACCAACCAAAAATATCCAGCCAACAGTAGTCATGTGACCAGCAACTGACCACAGATGAAGGGAATGAGTGGCTGTAAGTTTTCTTTCAAACCAAGCAGGAACACGCCTCACATATCTAACCAGTTGTTTAAAAACTGAGACCAACTCATTAAACAAATGGAATATGGTTTTCATTTGAATAGTCTGAATAAAAACCTGCAGCCACAGAGGATGACTAACACAAGTTTTACATGGCAAGATGATCCATAGTCTTTAAATGTACACCTACAGCGCTGTATCAACGATGTGTTTGTATTTAAGAGGCCAGTGTTCAAATATAAACATGCTGCAACACACACTACCGTACCATGTTCTGAGAATTATCCATGACCCAACTTATGTCTCGTAAGCCGCGGTCCTATGGTGGTCCCTTCCTGTTCTTGGACAGGATAGAGGGTGCTGACAAATTTTGCAGCAATAGATGAGCTACAATCAGTAATCCTAAACCCACAAACTGGTAGGTGTTCCTAATAAAATGGACAGTGAGTGTATGTGCAAGGAATGGGGATGTGATACGTGTATTCTTCATCTGTTCAAAGAATGTGTCTAAGCATTTGGTTGGTTACTAGTTTAAATCCCAGTTTGCCAAGTGGTTTAAAATCTGAGAGCTGGAGGGTTTCTTTGCCCTTTCACAGGGTAAAACCGCTGTGCTCTTGAGCTTTGCACTTAACCTCCGGGTGCAACAGCATGACATTAGAGTTTACCTACCTGCTCAATGATTGCCCAGTGTCCCTCCGGTGAATAAATAAAGGGTATAGACGTTGGTGTTACATACAGTACGGTCTGTTGTGAATTGTGAAAAGTCATTTTTCATGTAGCATATTCTGAAACTCTGTATTTTGTCTCTAGTCCAATGCGAGGGCGGTAAACCAGTTCCCCTGGCAATGAAGTCCATTTTTTTTATCACTCCGCACAGGAGAAAAGAGGCTTTTCTCTGTAATCCCTGTTTCAGTTCTCCTTGCTCTCTCACACTCTCTCTCTCTCTCTCCCTCTCTCTCTCTCACTTGCTCTTCTTTGCTGCTGTAAACAAGGCCACCGTGCAGTTAAATATCCCTCAGAAAGAGGATGGAAGCTGAAGCTAGTACACTCAGCCCCGTTTTCCACCGCTTAAGGCAGAAAAATCTCGTCCCTGGTGGGCTTTACCTATAAGCCGTAATTAAAGCCACCAGTTTTATGAACATGCAACCTATGGTATGCTGTTGGCCATGCTCTGTAGTTTTAAGTTTATATGTGGTAGCTGGAGCTTTGCTCTGCTCTTCTCCAGCGCTTCTCGTCTAATTGCAGTCAGTTGCCTTGAATGTCATTTCATGTAATATATTCATAAGCTTACTGATTAAAGTTTATAAAAATAGGTTCAAAGTACTGTATTATCTAGGCCAGACAGTGACGGCAAAGCATAAAGATGAGCGTTTCACCTCATTTGACTGCACAGAACATTGACATGAATCTGTTGTACTAGGAACGTAAAAATATAATTCTAATATGTTCATTTAATAGTGTAATTTATGATTTTATAGAGAGCTTTATTGTGGATGATGAGATTTTTTTCCTCTATGGCTTTCACAAATCTCACATTCAGTAGGTTTCAGGTTGAATTTCTATTTAATGAGAATCCTGTAGTTTAGTCGCTCATACACCAGAGTGCGTGAAAAATCTGTAGTACCTTGATGTCAAAGGCTATGATTTGAATAGCTCAGCTATAGACAAACCTAATGTATCATCATAATAATCTAATTCATCTGTTACACTGTATATACAGAGACAGAATGATGGATGTAAAATTATTAATGACTAATGAGCTGCTATTCCTGCACCTCCTTTCATCCACAGGGAACTACTATGGGACACCGCGGCCAGTCCACATTGGCCCCGATAGCCCACCCATCACCTACCAGGAGCATCGCAACCTGCTGAGGAACTTCCGCACACGAAGCAAGTCCCTTAGCAACCTGGAGAAGGCTGTGGAGGAAGGGGACAACAGTGAGGAAGACTCAGGTCTCTCAGGTACTGCACAGGAAGGTGCACTATGTAACATACTGTTATTCAGGCTTCAAGAACATCTGACAGTACAATAACAATCATACAGTGGGAGAAACAATAGCTGTTGTAGTGTCTCTGTGAAAGATAGTAATTAAGGGGCCTTCAATTAACTAGCCTGGTTAAAATGACTCTTTCACTTTGTTTAGCTTTGAGGACTCAATAGAGGTCTGTTTCTCTGGTTATATCTTAACTGGATTGACCAGTGCGTTCATTCTCATGGGGCCAGACTTAATCTCGTAACAAATGTCTGGGGACAACCATGAAAAAATTTTTGACTAAACGTGAGTGTAAATGTAGATTTATTAGGGTGAGAACACAATTTCTAAACCAGTACAAAATTTTGGTGATATTTCAGCAAAACACTTCATGAAGTGGGAGCTAAAAGTAGGTGCAGAGAATTTTTAGTGAGGGGAACTGCCACTCAGTAACATCTGGGTTTGTCAGGCACTAGAAGGCGCTCACAACTGAATGGGTTCCTCTAGAACCTATGTGCAAAGCCGAAGTTTGTAAATGCTTAATTATTTTAATAAAGATAAATGCACATTCTCAACACAGAACAGCATAAAATATTTCCACTCTGCTGTCGTATTTTTAAGTGCTTTTGAACTCCAGTTATAGGTCTTTCTAATGTTGCCTTATGTACACTCAGGATGTCAGTGAGCATGAACCACTTCAGCCAAGGAGCTGAGCAGCTTGCCAAACAACCAGAAAGTTGCAGTAATGTTAGCATCATACTGCCCAAAGCCTGTTTGCTGAAGAAGAACAGAAGATATTCTTTTTTTAATGAAAAAATCCTTCTGGTATTCAACTGGAAGGTCCAGTTACATCAAATTTCTTGCTTGCAAGAGTCCAGATAAACAGACTAACATAACGGAGACAGTGGTTATCTTGAAGTGCTTATCCATTAATCAGGGAAACTAGTAAAATAAAATAAGAAACGTCAAATCATATAATGAGCATTTCACACACTTGCACTGTCAAGAATGGCACCCTGATGGACCTTTCATAGTGAGCTTTGGGTTAATTTTATTTGTCCTCAGAAGTAAATTTCATGAGTAAGTTCATTCAAAAGGATGTTTCGCAGTGGCACTGGCACTTAACATTTCCACTTTGAGATGAGACACATCGATTTTGGGAATACTAGGAGAAAAAAGCCGAAATCTCAATTAATTCATTAACTGTTTTTCGTCAGCTTACTTTTTTAAACCCCTTACATGGCCAGGGCCACCAGCAGGCCCAAGGTTTTATTACACACTTCTATAACCTAAGAATAGCTCAACCAGTTTGCATTGAAGTCCCTGTAGTTACTAAATAATAATAAGTCTTGGTAAATAAGAAGACTGGAATTTTAAGGGATTAACATACCAAGTTATTGCTTCTCTACTCAAGCTGGAAATTGTAAATAAAATGAAAAATCTGTGTTAATTGGCTTTTATACATAATTTATGTTCTCGGTTCAGTCCACTGAAGTACTTTACTGGGTTCATGTCTGGACTGCAGTTCCCCTGTTAATCACCCCTGGACTAGAGGAATTTGGAGGTGGGTTTTTTAGGGGGTGTACCCTTGTTTGCAGCACCAGAAGTTTAACAAGTTGTCTGCAGATGTCTATCAATGTTACGAGATCCTATCTGGTGAGACTGTGTGTTCATGAGCCACAATTAATGACCATAACTAAACATGGAAATAAATGGCACATAGTTCAGAAATCATATCCGTGTCTGAAGCTCTTGAGATTGTTTTCGTTGTACTTCATGTGTCGTATTTCTCACGTGTTTCACTGTTGGGTTAATGGACAGGATTTGTGGAGTGGAACAAGACAGAAGCTCATGATTTGGCCCAGGGTGCCATTTAACATTCTACACTATGATAATGATGTTTTTGTAACATGATGTTACATAAGAGCAGCTGATTGGGTAATACTTCTGGAAAGTAGCCCTGAATTTAACTGCACTTTTAAAGACTAAAGTAGCTTTGGGTGACTTGACCTTTGGCTGAAGTGATGTTGCATAAGACTGTCCTAGGGGTCATGTCTGAAGCTGGGTTGTCTGGATGCTGTTTCTTCTGCCCTAGCGGGATCAGCAGGGGCGAGCAGCGCCCCACCCACTACAATCGTCTCCCCCAATCAGACCTGGGACTCTGGCGGGGCTCGGGACGGGGGTGTTGCCATGGAGAACGGAGCCCGTGGGGGGGCTCTGCCTGAAAACTGGGAGATGGCATTCAGTGACTCAGGAGAACCCTACTACATCGAGTGAGTCAGAGAGAGAGAGAGTGAGAGTTCAAGACATGTTATTTCATTGCCCCAGCGGGAATGAGTCTTGTACATGACACACTGTTGACTTGACTGTGATATTTGTAGAACGCACAGTCAACAGCGCGTCACATGCGAACACGTGTGTATGAGAACAACAGACGTCTTTATATAACACTAAACTTCTCAGATAACTATTCTCTAGATCAGGGGTCTTTCATTAAAATTCAGTAAGGTCCAGTTAGAGAAAATTTCCTCAAGCAAAGGTCCGGAACATCATAATGTCTAACTTGCATCATGATTCAGATACTGTATACTGAAGTAGCCTAGTAGGTATATCAACATCTTATGCAGTCAACAACTGAATGTCAAATCAAATAAAGTACAATTCAGTAATATTTCAATAACATTTATCGTCAGTTTTCTCTTTTTAGAGCACACCCTGTGAAATAACTTTCCTCTGACTCACTTTCTTCTTCGACTGCTGTTTCTCACCTCGTCCCTCCCGTGCATTCATCACTCACTCAAGTCTCAGTGCTCATCGTAATGCACAGATCTGATTGGCTGAGTAGCATCACGTGTGATATTTACAATGCATGTGATTGGTCTGTGAGTTTCCCGGGCCACTAAAGCTACCGCAAAGGCTAGAAAAGCTACACCAATTAAAATAGGACCACCCCATCGAAATTGAATTATTCTCCATAGTTTATCAGTTATAGGTTCAGGTCCGCATATGACAGCGTCTAGGTCCGGACTCGGACCGTGGTCCGCCTTTTAGTGACCTCTGCTCTAGATGAATTATTTTCACAACAGCAGAACTGGGATGATAAACAGCTGATAAATCGGGACAAAATTTTATATATATCTCTTTATCCCTTAAAATGAAACAGGATATGTTCTGTTACTGTGTCTTTAGGAGTGATATATGTGAACAACCTCTGTTCTGGTTGGCTACCCTGCATTGTGTTTCTGCATCTTGAGTCACATTTGCTGAAAGAAAAATGATAACTTTGTAGCTGCTACTGCTTGATGGATCTAAACAAAAATTATATCAGACTTGTGAAAAGTTCACATCTTTTTTTATCCTCTTTTTTTCAAGTATTGACTCGTATAAAAAGACCTCACAGTTTAAATTAATACTGAACAGCACTGTTTTTGATGGGGTTATAAGCATGTGGCAGCACAACAGTGGCATGGGTTGTGTTTTAAATAGCATAACATGTAGTGAATACATGCATGCTGCACCAGTGTATACTGTGTACCTCAACCTGCTCCTCATATCGGTGTGCAGTATCTTAGTATTTTATCATCCAGTAAGCCACAAAGTGCTGCGTACTGTACTACAGGACAGGAGACTCTACCTGCCTGAGGGGTTCAGTTAATTGGCCCAATCAGAAAACCACTTTTTAGCTTTCCTGTCACCCTTACGCAGTCCTGGTCACTTTTCCTCATGGCATAAAGAGATGCAGTATGTCTTGACATAAGCCCTGGCTGCGTACTGGAATTTTTGCCTGGAGTAGTATGTTTTCCAGGTTTCTTTGATCACATATTGTGTATGACTTGCTACTTTTGGGCACAATTGGTATGAGAGCTGTACGTAGTAGGCTATTTTAAACACAGCCATGCACTCACTGCTGCTTGTAAAGGATAAAACCAGATCATTAAAAAATTCTTATTGGTAATTATCTATAAATCACCTAAAATGGTCCCATCCTTACACAGTAAGTTTTCATGTTTGAAAACAGCTTAAGAATTTTGTTTTGGTCACAAAATGAGTGCATAATTTGCCAAACAACGTTATAGTCGATTCTAACATTCAATGCGATTAATTCGCCACCTTTAGATCTGTGGGTTGTGATGCAGTCATGATATATGATATTTACACCCTTACTAATTATGGACAGAATTGCTTAAGTACATTTCAAAGTGGTGGAGCTGACATACTATGATGACGTGATCTAGAAAAAACTCTGAATGTTTCCTTTTTCGTGGAATTTTTTCAGTCATAACTCAAAGACAACGAGCTGGCTGGACCCGCGAACACACAGCAAGGAGATCGTCAGCAAGACAGAGTGTGAGTGTGAACCTCCCAACCCCTGCCTGAGTATGTGTGCTCTGTGATGAGTGTGTGATCTCTCAGAACTCTCCCTCCCTCCCTCCCTCCCTCCCTCTCTGTCTTTTCTCTGGAATCCTCACAGAGAGATTAATGAACTCTTTGACAACCGTTTGCTCTCTCCATCTTATCCCTCGCTTCCTCTACCATCCAAACCTACCCCCCTTCCTCTTCCTCTCTCTCTCCCTCTCTTCTTTGAGTCTCTTTCAAGTTGAAAGTGACTTTCTTGCATTTATACTGAACTACCTTTTTTTTAAATGAATAAGGTCATATATGTTCATTCTTTCAGAAGCTGCTGAGTCACAAACACATGCAAATGCATAATAATAATAATGATAATGAGTAGTATTTAAGAAAAGTCGCTTAAGCAAGCTGTGTAAAACCACTCATCTGGGCAGTCAGTGTGTTTATGCTCGAAAAACACCATGTAACATAAAGAATTCAAACAGTCATTAATGTTGTAGAAAGTAACAGGAATTTCTTGCTCTCAAAAATGTAGTAAATATACTGTGAGATAGTTAGAAGAGTTAGAAGGTTCCAGATTTCACCTTAACAGCCATCACATAGACTTGTTAAATTCCATCACCAGCACACTTGATTTAACTTGATAAAGGACTCATTACAAACCAGGTATTGGATAATACCTACAATAGAGTCTTGATGCTTATGTTCCATGCATCCTGAAGGATGGCGGGTCAAGCCAAGCTGTACTTGAAGCTTGAGGGGCTCCATTTATGGGTCAAATTTTGACTATTGCCATCAGGTAGGGAGGGGCTCGTCCATTTTTGGCTTTGCAGGTAAGCATCAGGGTTTTAAATCTGATGCAAGCAGCTACAGGAAGCCAGGGGACACAGCAAAGGAGTGACATGAGTAAATTTAGGAAGATTGAATACAAGTCATGCTGCTGCGTTCTGGAGCAGCTGAAAGAGCCTGATGGTCAGCATAGGAAGGCCAGCCAAGAGCGAGTCGCAGTAGTCAAGCTTCAAGATGGCAAGAGACTGAACGAGCCCCTGGGTGATCTCCCTTTAGAAAAAGGGTCAAATCCTCCAGATGTTGTAGAGGAAAAACCCCAAACCTGAGTCAGATTTGCTGTATGAGCTCAGAATGAGCTGGTCATCCAGAATCTCACAAAGGCTTCTTGCATCTTTACATTGAATAATCTGAGCTTACTAGCCAGATAATAGCTTTTTAAACATAATTTTCTCAGGTGCCTAAAACTTTTGCATATTACTGTACGTAACCAGGATGTATCATTTATGAAGGCGAATTTTTCTTCATTTTTAATTGTAAACATTATTCGTTCTGTATCGCTTGGGTATTCAACTCCAGTCCAGCACACTTCCTTGCTCAAACACTGATTTAACTCATCTGTTAATTGCCAGGCTTAGTAGGCGTGTTTGAGCAGGGACATTAGCAAACTGTGCTGCGCACCGGCCCACCAGGACAGGAATTTAATACCCCTGCTGTAAAGTATAGTAGTACACCACTTTAGCCAGCAGAGGGTACTACGGTTAAGCATTTCTGTGTTTGCTCTGACCCCCTCAAGGCAGTGGGCACAGACAGGGCAGCAGGTCCCTTGACATTAATATGAAGCGCTGAATTAAGCATACCATCTGTTGACAGCTAATGATATTTTCTGAATGTGTGTGTATGTGTGTGCGTGTGTGTATGTGTATGTGTGTGCGTGTGTGTGTGTGGTGGTGTGTGTGTGTGTGTGTGTGTGTGCCTCAGTGCCTCCATTCACAGACCAGCCATCTGAACTGAAGGGCTATTCCATACACACACGCCTGTCCAAAGGCCCACGGGGTTTTGGCTTTAACATCGTGGGGGGCAGCCGACCCAGAGAGTTCCTACAGGTGTACAGTGTTACACCTGGAGGACCACCTGCGCTTAACACAGGTACACCCTTTACTCTATATGAACTTGCCATTTATTTTAAAAGACACTGAACACACATTTTACTCTGCTATATGGATCTTTCTGCCAAATTGGTTCACAGTCAGAGTTTAAAACCCAATTCAGACTCTTAACTTGGAATTTAGACTAAAATCTTTTTTGCTTTATGTGACCCTATACCTGATGTTTGTTAGGCTTAGTTTATGAAAATAAATTATTGAACATTCTGTTTTTTCACTCGTTTTTTTTATTATTATTTAAAAAGTAAATCTTTCAACTTCACAACAGAAATCAAATATATCATTTTTTTATGCAAGTATTATTCAGTTGAAACATTGGGGTTAGGGTTTGGGACAACCACTTCCCAGAAGAAAGTAAACTATAAATGATGATTTTGAATATATTTAGCTCATTACTATCTCTTAATGGCTTGGATTGAAATAGATCATAACCAAACCCTTGCAAATGTCCAAAGTCTGAACACTTAATTGTCTTTTAAGTAGTTATTTTACTTTGGATCCCCAGTTTGAACTAATTTGATAGGAATGTCCCAATCAAGTTTTATGGCCTCAGATCCTTATATGACAGTGCATGTAATGTTAGGCTGTCAATTACATTAAAAAGCCTGAAGCAAAAGCACTTTATGTTTAGTATCTGCATAGTGTGAACTAACCTGATATATTTGGACCTCGTTTGTCCAAATGTCACCTTCATGTTGTGTTCAGTTGGCTTTGGTTGTCATTTCCCGAATATGTGTTGGGTTACAATTTTACATTCAGGTGCTCACAACTTTTAACAGATTTAATCCTGCAATTTCCCTACTTTAGTTTTTCTCTTTCACACATTTCACATTAAACCATTCTGAATGACTTTGTATGCATCTTAATTATTTGATTATGCAGGGAATTTGAACATACTGTGAAATTCAGAAATGTTCTTGTGTTTGCCTTTTGTCTTAAGTAAGTTATCAAAAGTAATTAAAAATTCAAAGGAATTCACTTTCCAATAATAACAAAAACGTCAGAACTGACCACCAGAGGGCAGTGTGATGAATATCTCATAGACTAAACTTCAAATATCTCAACATTACACAGTTTTCAACTACTGTCTGTCTCAGTCTGTCTTAGTATAGATGCCTGTATTTGAGAAGATAGATATAATATGCTAAATGTTTCCTGTGAGGTTTTGATATTTACTTGGATTCTACTGATTTACTACTAGGAATTACATTGATCCAACATAATATTAGTCAGTCACAATTGTGAAAGGAAAATGGAAAATTGGACATAGTGTGAAATGTTTCTCTGTTATATTTTCTCATATATAATGATTTTACTTTAAAATTTACTACAGAATAAAAATTTTATCAATGAGTTGAAGTAAAGTAAAATGACCTAAAACAATCCCAGCAACTCTGAAAGTGAACATTTTACCTCCCACAATAGAAGCTGAAGTGTAGCTGCTAATGGAAGCCACAGCAGTCTGGAAGGTGATGATAATGCTGGTGGTCACTGGTTAAATATTTATTGCAGATATAATAATGTAATGGCTTTAAAAAATTAACTTTTTTGTGTGTGCAAATATACGCTCGGTGCAAAAAAGTGAACATAAGGTATAGTGTAGTATCTTTCTCTCTGTGAAATCAGAATGCTTTAGAGAGAGAGAGAGAGAGAGAGAGAGCGAGAGAGAGAGCCATCCAACGCTGGATTTAGTTCTCATCACCATGCACGGCAGAAAGAAAGTGGATAGAGAAAGGATGAAAAGAACAGAGAGAGAGATGGATAAAAGATGAATTCTGGCAAAACAAGATGTTCGTGCTCCCTGTTCTGTATCCTCTTATCTCTCCTCTCATCCCTCCATTTCCTCCCTCTTGCTTTCTATTCTCACTCTCATCTCTCCTGCTTGGCTCTTGTCCTCTTTCCCCTTTCTGTCTGAATTAAATTGCCCCCATATCTGTACATCTCTCTCTCTCTCTCCCTCTCTCTCTGTGGATGGATTATAGCAATGTGATTGGTAGGGTCTCATGGTTTGAATCTGCCGATCTGTTCTTAATCCTGATGGGTTGGTTTTTAATCTTTCTATCCCCGACACGTACCGCTGCCTGCTCACGTGTGCTGCCTTAACACTATACACATTGCATGCGCACACAATAAACCAAATACAATCACGCCCCTTCATTTATACCATGTGCATACAAATACTCATGTGAACATATGTACACACACACGCACACAGATAAATTCTAGGTCTAGTATATTCTAGGTCCTGTACTCCGTTTGCTCTTCCAAAAATTGTAGGAAACAACTTGCAAATATTAGAATACTTTGACTCGAGGGTGGACAGTTAGCACTTTGCCCCTTACTTATTGTTTTGCTCCACAAAATGTGCCTTCTGTACCATAGGAGAACTGTATCATTGTATAAATGTCCACATCGCAGTGTAATATACTGTTCATCATACTGCATCGTATGTGATGTCAAATCGGCACCATTCACGTCACGTATATACTGCTTAGAATTTCAGCGCCCCCTTAAAACACTTTCCCGCATCTCTAAGCACATACATACATATTCACATGCATACTTCTGTCCTGTTATACCTTTATTTATTTTAACTTTTAGAAGTCACAGTTTTCAACAAAAGTAGTTTAAAAGTAGTTTAAGATTTGAGTTTAATGAGAAGTTATTGTTGTATGTTCAGTCTTGTTTTGCAGAAAGGAAAAAAACATACTTTCACATTTTTGCCATGTTTTTGTTTGTGTCCTCCCTTTGCCTTTATCACAGCTTTCATGCTTTTGCTTTCAGTTTTCAAAAGAAATCTGATATGTATTTTTCCACATCTCTGTAGTTCATTCTTAAAAGTTGGTTGCATTTTCTGCTGCTCACTATCTGAGTAATCCCAGACACAGTCAGTGATGTTGAGGTCTGGAATCCAGAGAACACCAGCAGCTTCTTTGATAAGTACATCTCAGATCTTCTCAACAACGTACCTGGGTTGTCTTGCTGTAGAGTTAATTTCTCCTTAATCAAATATTTTCCACAGATTACTGCATGATTATTAAAAATTTGTTTCTACTTATCAGCATTAATAGTGCCTTCAATCAGAAACAAATCACCAACTCCAGATGTTCTCATGTGTCCTCAAACTCGCACTGATCCCATACCATGCTTGACTGATGGTTAAAGACATGATTCAAAGAGTCGTTCATCGCTTCACCAGCGTACCCTGCTGAAAAAGGACCATTGAAAACCATTAGGATTAAAATCTAATGGTTTTGCTTTTAGGCAGTGCGGTGTCATCTCAGAGCAAGAAGGGCCTGGGTTTGATTCTCCAGCTGGGCGACCAGGGTCCTTTCTGTGTTTCTTGTTCTTCCTGTGTCTACATGGGTTTCCTCCCACAGTCCAAAGGCATGCAGTCAGGCCAATTTGAAATGCTAAATTGCCCCTGGATGTGAATGTGTGTGTGAATGTATATGTCTATGTGTCAGCCCTGCGATTGACTGGCGACCTGTCCAGGGCATTTCCTGCCTTCCGTCCAATGTACGCTGGGGTAGGCTCCAGCACCCCTGGCGACCCAGAAGGATAAGAGGCTTAGAAGATGGATGGATGGATGATCTGATGGGAATTGGCTTAATTGTTTCCATTACCTTCTTTAACTTCCAAAGATCTCATGTTTAGAGTCATACAACCTTACTGCACATCTCAGATGTCCCGTTTTGGTGTTCTGGTACAAATTTTCCTCTTTGTGTCCTTTTCTCAGTAACAGCTTCTTGACAACTGTACATCCTTTCAGACTCATAGTGTTGTTGTATTCTCACAGTAAAAAGATGGACAGAAACACCTGTGGATTTTTTTCAGATCTAAAGCAAGATTTGAACTTGATTTTATCCTCTTTCTCACAGATGAAAACTTTAGGTACTGTTCATCTGATAGTGACAGGTTTGGTGGTCTACCAGGTTTTGCATGGTTGTTTGTCATGGCTTTTAATAATTTTTGAACTTCAGTTTTGGAAACTCCTGTTGATTATCTTGTATCTAATTGCCTCAGTGTTTCCTGACGCTGAGGAATGAATACCTTGCACTTAATGTCACTTTTGTCAGTTTTTTTCGTCAGTGCAGTTGAATAGGCTTTCAGATGCATTTCAGTAATTTCTCTTTTTCTCTTTCTCTTTTTCTCTCTCTCTCTATGCTCTTAGCGGACATCCTGGTATACATTAATGATACGTGTGTGCTGGGTATGTCCCATAAGGAGGTGGTGGAGATGCTGAAGGCCGTGCCTATGGGCCACAGTGTGGATGTGGTGTTGCGCAGAGGTTACCCTATGCTTTACAATCCCGACGGCTGCCCCAAGACCAGCCTGTCATCTCCCTCTGACCCGGCTCCGGGCTCGGCCCAGCCACAGCCTCCCGTCGAGGGGCTCCCCAACCTCAACCGCGCTGTCTCTCTTCACAACGGCTTCTACCCCCGCATGCAGAAAGAGGCCCTGGATGCTAACGGAAATGCGGCGGCTCCGCCCTCTTACCCAATGCCCAACGGAAATGCAGCGAGTGGGGCTATAGGGATGGTGGGCATGTCCTCCAACCCACCCCCAGCAAGGCCCGAGAGACTGAGCTCTAGCCACAGCGACACTGAGGTCAGCTCTGCTGTCACACGGAGGTAATCATTTTTTCCTTGCTTTTTTGATGTGATATGTTAATATTATATTAGCAGCTAATTTTGAATTCAATATCACCAACTTTTCAGCTTATAGCAGTTTAGCCCACCTATTCATAGTGACATATTGAGAATTGCAACATCCTTGAGGATTTGACTCCAAACATTTTATTCCTTGCATTGAAACCTGGACTGCTTTTTGAACTTTTGAACCTCATTTCACTTATGAAGGAGTCAGCCTATCAGAACAGAGTTCATTTACATATTTTAGTCTCGGTGTAGTAACAAAAACAGCCTGTTCAGTTGTAATGGATAAAGCATGATCTTCTTAAGAAAATGTTTTTTGTATCAATTCTTTGTCTCCTCTCTTCCCTCACTCAACCAGAGCCTCCCTCATCCGCACCTACAACAACAACACTCTCCCAGCCCTCTCCCTGGCCCACCAGAGCTCCAAGTCTTCCGAGAGTGATCTCTCCAGTGGTACTCTGCCTCTCCCTCTCCCTCAGCCTGAGGTGGGCTCTGCAGCTGCCCCGCCGGGCGCCCCAAGCAGCCAGCGGCCCCTCATGCCCCAGACCTCGCTTGTGGTCTCCACTCCAACAGAGCTCCCACCTTGCGGCTTTAACGGATGCCCAGCTAATAATCATCCCCCTCGTCCTCCCCCGAGTGGCCTAGGGTCTCCTGGTGGGTCGTCTGGGGCTGGTGCAGGGGGCGAGCTGGTGCCTGTGGCTCTGGGAAGGAGTGAAGGAGGGGGGATGGGCTTCAGCATAACAGCCGGTGGCCAGGGTGGACAACTGGCTCTGGTCAAGAGGGTGTGGGACAGACGGCAGTGCCCCTCACTTCAGCCCGGGGACGCCATCATCAAGATCAACGGTGCAGATGTACAGAGCCTGAGCTTCGCGCAGGTAACATGAAGCACTTGCTGACTGAGCCTTTAACGTCATCCCATTTAGAGACCCACAGAGCCAGCAGCAGCTCTAGCCTTTCGGGCTAAAGCTTTCTACTAGCTAGCCAGCACAAGTTCAGTGTTAAATGTAGCCACTGAACAGTAAATAGTTCTTCTTTTAGAAGAATAATTTTTTTTGAGCACACTTATTCTGGTGTGTTATTTGATGTTGGTTTATTCTGTCTGCAGGTGCAGAGAGTCCTGCAGGAGCATACCAGACAAGGAGAGGTGGTCTTACTGGTTTACAGAGGAGGTAGGGATCCACACTGCATTAATCAAAAGCTTATTGAAAGCTAATTAAAAGCTTTATCACCCTCAGTCAAATTACATGTTACAAATAAAACATATAATGTGCCATCATTTTTTTTCAATATACTAAATTCAGCAAATAAACAGTAATTGTGTAATAAAATGTGCAGAAGTGTGCTCTGTTTAGAACTTTTGCATACACCTGTACTGCTGTTTTTTTTTCATCAAAAGTTTCATCATCATGTTTTGTGTCTAAAAGTTGACCCAAGCCAAAGAAAATTTAGTCCAAAACTGACATCTAACTTTAACTAAATAGAGAAGCTGCTCTTCAGTGAGTATGATGTCACGCGTCACTCACAGTTGCAAAAAACAAACTAATTAGCTAGCTAACATTTAGGATGCTAAGTACACTGAAAACAATGATTTATGGCCATCGTAAACAAAAACATAAAAATATACTTTACTTATTTATATTCATTAGAAGCAACCCAATTTGGATAAATCCAGAACTGATTTAATTGAATGGTATAAGACCTTTTAGATTTTTCCACTAGATCTTATTAGGAGGCAGTGCGCATGTGCAATAGTAACAGGAAACGCATCATCAACCAGGAAACTGCTTCAGCTGGCATGGTGGACATGAAATGGCTCTTTTTATTTTTACAATCTCCCGCCATCCTTTGTTATACAGTGCAACTGCAATGAAGTAGTGATGTGCATTAACTTAATTTGTGTTTTTAATGTTTTTGACCGTATATTAATGTTTCATTTTGCTTATTTTGAGAGATACTCTAGACAACACCAGCGAACAAGCTAGCTAGCGTCCTTGCTAGGTCTGCTGTCATGTTGACAGGTACAAAAGGTAGATTAAATAATCAATGGGAGTGATTTATTGTGAAGCACAGTACATAAAGATGTTTTCCATTAATATACAAATCAACAGTTCATGGTTTTTGTAACTGTAGGTGACCTCGATATATTAGCATGGCATGAAGTGACTGATAGCGTTAGCTAGCTAACTTGCATGATGGTTAGCATGAGAACTGCGCCTCAGTAGGAATGTTGTGCACATAAATTTATTTAGTAGTTGAGCTGCGAGTGAATAGAAATTCACCAGGGAATTTGATCACAGCTGAAATATATATATAGTTAGGTTTATTTCTTTCACATTAGACTTTAAAGTTTACATGTGTCTTGTAAGGAGCCTCAGCAAATACAGTTTGGACTACAGTAAATGTTTGTGAATTTAGCATGTATTGTCATTTAATACATTTACACAGTCTAAGTAATTGTGCTGTGAATACTATTGACTCTTTACAAATACATAAATGTTATGTAAAAGAATAGCATAAATTCTACAAGTACGTCTAATTTAAACTTTATTTAATTCATTCAGGTTTACTGAACATGATGTAGAAACATAAATTATAATACAATTTTTACATTGGATTTATGTCTTTAAATTGAATGGAAAATTGACATGTAATTAAAATACATGTTACATTTTAATACAAATACATTTTAAGTTTTGGGCTTAAATATTTTAGGGTGTAAGATGATAAGTTAAAGATGATACTTTGAGCCAATGAGGTGTTTAATTTATGTTTTACTTTGCACTTCTCTCCTTTGTAGGATCTGTAGTCTCACCTGCCTCCCCGAACTACTACAAGACTGTCCCTCCACCCCAGGGCCCCACAGACTTGACCTCCCCCTCCTCAGACGGCCCCACAACCAGCCAGAGCACCCTCTCCCCACAGTCACCCTCTGGTGAGCTCCCTCCACTGGTTCAGAGCACTAGCTTCCTGGACTCAGTACCAGTAACCTTGACCATGGAGCCCAGAGATTGGATGGGGGTGGAGGACATGTCCGGACAGGGTCCCCGCACATCAGACCCCGCCCTGGGAGCAGTGTCCAAAACTCCGGCAGACGGGAGAGGAGCGGGACTTCACAAAACTCTAGAGGTAGAGCTGAGAAGAAGGCCGGGAGAGGGCTTTGGGTTTGTCATCGCCTCCCAGGATGTCAAGAATGGATGTAAGTACTGTGAGATTTTACGATCTGATGCAGAATTCAGCTTCAGTAGTGTAGGGGGGCCAGGTGTGATCTAGCAGTGAGAATACACATCGGGGGATAACTTGGTGGAAGAAAATGTTGGTGGTAGATGGTGCCAAATTCAACCAACAAAGCTACGCTCACAGGTTTTCCCTATAAAACCCACGCCCAAAGTCATCCAGACAGTGTACTTTTAACATCTGGAGTGTAATGGATAGTACTGACAAAGGAAACATACCAGCCTGTGAACATTTACCACTTGGTGGACGATGTTGGTTAGAGCACCAGAGCCTTTTCTTATTTCAGACATCACTTCTGTATTGAGCTCTGCCTTCACAAGGTGTTTCAAATTCAGTTTGTTCCCACCGTAATAGGTCTATGCTTTCAAGATCCAATCTGATCCACAAGACTACTGCTTTAGTTCTATTGTAATGTAACAATGAACAATGGGTGCTAAGATTGAACCTATCCATGCTCTGATGCTTCGTCCTCAAATAGGTTACTTTTTAGTACCTGTTGTCAAGTTGAACAAGTGAATCCCAGAGAATCCCATTCAACCTAAATGGAAACTGTTCAGCACTTTGTTTAGGTTTGCTAACAGTAATGCTACAATTGGTCGTGTGATTTTTGCCAAATTCTAAAGCTTGCCCAAACTCACAGTAGCTACAAAAGAACATATTTGTGGGTGGGGCATGGATAGATCTATTGGAGTTGCAGTCAATAACAGCGGTTTGTTCACAATGCAAAGGATGTAGCACAAAGACAATACAAAGTCAGTGCACTGTAAGTCTGTTAAGTTCAGGTGAGACTGTGGATGTTAGTAGGTGTGGGTTTGCTGTGTGAGGTTTTATTGGTTCTTGTTTTCAGAGACTTGAAGTGTTTTACACATACTTGGAATATGGTGGGGTCTCGTTACTGTATACATCAAAACATTGACTCCATTTTTTCAGTCTGTTTTGATTGCTTATACCAGGCATGTCAAACTGGGGACCTTCCGGCCAAAGTGCTGTGGATATAAGCGTTTACCCTCATGCAACACTGTAAATTCAGTTTAAGAAGACCTTGCTAATTAGCTGAAGATCTGAATCAGGTGTGTTTAATGAGGCACCGTTCTGAAGTCTGCAGTGTGTTGGCCCGCGAGGACTCGAGCTTGCTTGTTATTTGTTACTTTGAGTAAAATGAGCTCTGTTCTGATTGGGTGACCTGTATTGTGTCTCATTCAAAAGGCAGTCTAGACTGAAACACTTCTTATAACTTAGCTGAGCTAAACTGCTGTAGGCTGAATAAGTGTATATATGTAAATATACACTATATTGCCTGAAGTATTCGCTCGTCTGCCTTCACACGCATATGAACTTGAGTGACATCCCATTCCTAATCCACAGGGTTTAATATGATGTCGGCCCACCCTTTGCAGCTATATCAGCTTCAACTCTTCTGGGAAGGCTTTCCATAAGGTTTAGGAGAGTGTTTATGGGGATTTTTGACCATTCTTCCAGAAGTGCATTTGTGAGGTCAGACACTGATGTTGGGCAAGAAGGCCTGGTTTGCAGTCTCCGCTCCAGTTCATCCGAAAGGTGTTCTATCGGGTTGAAGTCAGGACTCTGTGCAGGCCAGTCAAGTTCTTCCACACCAAACTCACTCATCCATGTCTTTATGGACCTTGCTTTGTGCACTGGTGCGCAGTCATGTTGGAACAGGAAGGGGCCGTCCCCAAACTGTTCCCACAAAGTTTGGAGCATGAAATTGTCCAAAATCTCTTGGTCTGCTGAAGCATTAAGAGTTCCTGTCACTGGAACTAAAGGGCCGAGCCCAACTCCTGAAAAACAACCCCACACCATAATCCCCCCTCCACTAAACTTTACACTTGGCACAATGCAGTCAGACAAGTACCGTTCTCCTGGCAACCGCCAAACCCAGACCCGTCCATCAGATTGCCAGATGGAAAAGCGTGATTCTTCACTCCAGAGAACACGTCTCCACTGCTCTAGAGTCCAGTGGCAGCGCTTTACACCACTGCATTTGACGCTTTGCATTGTGCTTGGTGATGTAAGGCTTGGATGCAGCTGCTCGGCTATGGAAACCCATTCCACGAAGCTCTCTACGCTGTTCTTGAGCTAATCTGAAGGCCACATGAAGTTTGCACTGCGTGGCTGAGTTGCTGTTGTTCCCAATCACTTCCACTTTGTTATAATACCACTGACCGTTGACTGTGGAATGTTTAGTAGCAAGGACATTTCACGTCTGGACTTCACGGTACTACGCTGGAAGAGAGCGACACATTCTTTCACAAATGTTTGTAGAAGCAGTCTGCATGCCTAGGTGCTTGGTTTTATACACGTGTGGCCATGGAAGTGATTGGAACACCTGAATTCAATGATTTGGATGGGTGAGTGAATACTTTTGGCAATATAGTGTATGATAAAAACAGTGGATTCAGAACAGGCTGTTCTGCGATTTAGTTTTCATATATGGACTTTATGGACTGAGGAGTGAGCGGGACGTGTTGAACAATGTTTATATACTGGATTAACCCTATGTGATGTGGTAAGGCGAGGCCTACCCCATCACCAGTGAATACCATCCCTTGCACTATAAAATATGTGTGTGTATAGATGTACTTACCTGTGTCTGCCTGTGAAGGGAGAATTAGCAAAAGGGGGACTACTTCTCCCCATGACTCTGTTTGACCGAAAAACGCTAGCAGCTTGTAGTTTCTGAAGTAATGGTGTGGGGGAAGTTATAAAGGGAGTTGGGACCCAGCCTCGCAGCTGCTTCCCATGCCATGACTAAGCCTGACGCTTAGTATATATTGTAAATATTTTACTTTCCGTTTATTTTTCGTTTTGTACAGTTTTTGTTTCCTGTTTTCACATTGTGTAAATAAACTACTTGTTCGTGCACTCTACTTTTACTCTTGCTCATCCTATTGGTTGGCTCACCCTCGCAGACCTTACCAGTAAGCCACAGGTAAAACCAAAAATCCTCTTCACGGGGTTTAACATCTTCACACCCTATTTTAAAACAACAAGAATTCACCCTTTGTGAGAATAAATATAGAGAAGAAACATTCGGGCCTGACGTGACTGATGTGGCCTATTGAGATTATGACCCAAGGCTATTCCTCACTGCATCTTTGCTTTGCTATTTTGTTAACATGGATATGGCCTTTTGTTTTTCATGTCTCTCTCCTGCGTGTGTTCAGCTTCACTCTCCACCTCTGTCAGCATTCGAAATGGAAAACAAGAAGGAATTTGCTGCATAGATTAGATTGACATCATTTGTATCGACGCTAAAGCCATCCATTGAAAAGAAGCCTGTTGATTGCCTTCATAGAGAAGTGAATATGAACCAGGCTTAGTGGGGAGTAGCCCTGAATAACACCCTAATCCTGCTTTAATTCATCCGTTCGGGCCAGGACAGACCCAAACAAACAGTAAATCCCCCCTTTTCGAGTTATTCTCACTATAAGACAGAAGGGCATTTTCTTTGTGCTGAAAACATATGGCTGTTATGAGTCAGGCGATTGTGCAACGAGCATGCACTCAGAAATAAAGCTTAATTAGCAATCTAATCATGATTCAGTCGGAGGGAACACACAGATGAACGCTCCAGCGTTTAACCACAGCGTACAAGCTGAGGTCACATCTCACACAGCCTTGATAAAGGAGCTCCATCATACGGAAGCGTCACCGTATCTCTAGGGTTTGACATCATGCGGTTTGACATCACTCCTCTAAAGGTTAAGTTGTTGTTATGCAAGTTATCCAACATGGTCCTCAAGGTCATATGGTGTGTTTTGATATTGTGACGCAAGTCAGAGCAATCAGTAGTGCCTGCATTTCCATTTCAAATGGTTCGTCTAGTTCGCTCATTTGCATAAATGCATTTTTATGCTCATACCCAGCTGGTTTTACACAAATCTTGTTACATAAAAAATACATACAGTTTTGCTCTTTTCATGTTTTTTGCTATCATCATTTCTCTTTTAGTCTCTCTCACGCAAGTACACAGATGTGCAGCACTGTGCAAACATCAGAGATCACCCTTCATTTATTTAACTTCCAGTTAAAACGGCCATTAAGTACAATTTGTGCATTTTCAGGAGATATTCTGAGATTAGATATAAAATAATCCACTTGGAGTTTCTAAGAACTGCAGTTCAAAGAAAACGGGACTATAACGACCATGTAAGACCTGGTAGACCATCTTTAGTACTTAAAGGGAACCCTGACTGTTAAGACATGTAAGCCACAATAAAGTATACATGTCTAGTACTATTAAAATATGTTGTAAAAACCAAGCAAAATACTTTATTATTAAAAATCTAAATCCTTCTATTACTTGATTGCTGCTGTTTTGCAGAATCACATGGCTGCTCTATCTCTTGTCCACTGAGTGAGAAACAGCAAGCTAAATACCTAGTTTAGCGTAAATATATCATCTAGCCTATCCAACATAAGCTAGGGCATGACCGTCACCCGGGAGAAAAGCTTTTTCATTTTCCATAGGACATCATCACAGCGCAACAGTGGTGGAACACTAGTAGAGGGATTTGGCCTGTTTGTCATGCTATTTGTAATAAACAACACTTTTTAATTTGGTTTATACATCATATTTAATGATTTTAAGGCGTACAAGTCTAAACTGTAAGGGTTGCCTTTAAAGCTTTCATCTGTGAGATACGCTATAATGTATAGACACTGCTGTTCCCAGCTGCCTCTGTTGTGAGAGGATTCAGACTAATATTAAATGTCCCTCATATTAGTTATAGCTTTAAATCAAATATGCATACATGCATGCACACACAGATATTCAGTGTCATGCTTTCCCTCACATTCTGCCTCCCTCCAGCTCTCTCTCTCTCTCTCTCTCTCTCTCTCTCTCTCTCTCTCTCTCCCTCTCTCTCTCTCCCTCTCTCTCTCTCTCTCTCTCCTCTCTCTCTCTCTCTTTCCCCCACTCCCCCTCTCTCTGTTCTTCAG